AGAAGAAAGTATAGAATTAGAAAAACAGATTAATTTGCAACAGCATGGATGGACATAGCGGGTATGACGCTAAGTGAAATAAGCCAGACAGGGTAAGACCAATACCATATGATATCACTTACATGTGAAATCTAAAGAACAAAGTAAACAAATAAACAAAATTGAAACAGACTTACCCATACAGAAAACAAACTGATGGAGTCCAGCAGGGTGGGGTGCAGTGGGGTAGGGTGAAATAAAATATTGGGATTAAAAAGCGCACATTGATAGCTTCGGAATAGTTACAGGGATGGAAGGTAAAACATAGGGAACAGAGTATGAACTATCTGTGGTGCCAGGTGGGCACTTGAATTATAAGAGGAAACACTTTGTAACCTACATGAATGTCCATCCACTCTGCTGTACACCTGAAACTAATACAAAATAATGTTGAACATAAAAATATAAAGTATCAGCAGAAACCTGGAAAGAAAAACATTATTTTCAGAGGTATTTTGGAGGGGCTGCTATTGATTTTCTGTTAGGAAGGCAGTGTAGTGTCAAGGTGTTAAGAGCATGAGCTTTAAAGTTTGATAAAGTTGGTCCCAGTCCAGGCTCTGCTGGACCTTGGGAAATTTTATTTTATCTCTTCTGACCTTGAATTTCTTCATAATTTGAAATAATACGTCTATTTGAGAGGTGTTTTTAAGATTAAATGGGAAGAAAAAATCCAAATAAAGTGTTTGACATAGTGCCTAGCACATAATCAATACTCGGTATGTGTAATTGTTGTTATTTTTAATGATGTTGTTATTGGTATAATTATTTATGTCTTTGTTTGAGGTTCTTTTTCTCATAATTTGGAAAATTAGGAAATACTTGAAAAAGGCTTGAAAGTATGTACACAGACCTTAACCATCATCTTCTAATAGTATTCAGATCCCTTTTTAAGATTTCGTAGGCCAGGGCTGAATTTAGAGGCTTGATATATTTGGCATATGAATCAGATTCCAATCATCTACTGCAGATTCATTTTATTTATAAATTATAGAAATTAAAATAGTAATATAATACAGGCTCATTTTTATGACAGCAATCTTATCCAAATTTTGTAGTTTGTAGAACTGATAATGTCTAAAAGTCTATGTAGGAAAGTACATAGACTATTTAGAACTTGAACAGGGAGATACATTCAACCTCTCATCAAATGAGGAAACTGTAGGCAAGTTGAAGGAATTATCAGATAAGATTATTTATCTTTGTGTAAGAGGTAGACAAAACTACAAAAGAAAAAACAACATAATATCCATTAAATTGTTAGCGTCACCCCAAAATTTCACCTGATTGTAATAAATGAATGTAAAATAAGTTTTTGAGTTGCAGTCAGTGTATAGACCATCATGTGTGAATGTTTTCTCTTATTATTATCCTTTCCATTTTAATTGCTATGTAAGGTTACTCTGTTTTGACCTGCATGGTTTGCTTGGTGATGGTTTGTTGAGTATTTGAGTTACTTCCCACTTTTTCCTCTTACAAATAGCACTGCTATGAATATCTTTTCTTTCAAGTTACTCCCTAGGTGTCTACCTCCCTACCACCAGTTAATTCCTAGGGGAATAGTCTGCAAATTAATCATGGTGTACTATTATATTCTACTAGAACCCCCGTGCACGAATTTGTGCACTGGTGGGGTCCCTCTGCTTGGCTGGTGACAGGGCCTGAAGGGACTGCGGGAGGTTGGCTCCTGCTTTGAGCATCTGCCCCCTGATGGTTAGTGCGTTGTCATAGTAACTGGTCAACCAGTCAAAATGGTCGCTTAGGTTTTATAGATTAACTGATAATTTGGTTCAAAACCACTTCACAAGTAGCTTGGTATTAGAAACCCAGATACTAGAGATTTGACTAAATGTAGGTCTTTATTAGGTGGTTGCTTTTTAGTAAGCAGACAAACCTTCTACCAGCATAAAGTGAGCTACAAAGAGGGTTTTAAGGTACCAGAAAAAAAAAGACAAGATGCAAGAAGACCCTGGGGAAATTAGACAGTTTCCTCATTCCTCCTGAGTCTGATTTGCAGAATGTTGTTTTGTTTTCTTTGTCTATCAAGTACACTCCAATTTTTAAAAGTAGAGATAGGACGATTGTAAAGATAAAATGTAGCATTTTTAGATTAATCATAAATAGGCCTCCTTCCATTAGTGTGGATGTGAGCACATCTTGGACTTCAACATCACGTAATTCTTTTGTTACAGAGAACTGCTTTCATTTCTCAGGCCTTAAGTACAGACGGGAGTTTCTGTCTGTATAGCAGTCCTGCTGCTAGATACCGTTCAGGCTTGATGGGAGGAAAGTCTTGTGGCCAAACAGGTGGAGATCCATGGTGCAAGGCCATAAAGATAAAAATGGAAAGAAAAGAACAACTGTAAGGGCCTCAAGCCAGGCTCTGTAACAAAGACAAACCTCACTATAGGCAGTGCTTGTTCCAAGGCAGGGGCTTCTTTAAAACTGCGGAAAAAGTGAGTCTTCTATTTTTATTTTTAGTTTAGTATAATTTATTTTTGGTATACTAGTATAGTCATTTCACAGAGATCAAAATTCAAGTGAAAATTCTCAAGCCACTAAGTCCCGTTCTTTGGAGGCAATCAGTATTACTAATTAAAAAGCATCCTTCCAGAGCTATTCTGTACATATATAAGTATATATGTTTCTGTGTATGCACACACCTGTATTCTTTTTCTTTTTTTTCCCTAACCAACGGTTGCATGCTAACATATTCTACACTTTGCTTTTTCACCCAATATTGAATCTTGGAAATTATTCCAAATAAATAGGTTTTTTTTGGGGTTTTTTTTTTATTATTCTTTGAAAGCTTTTAAAATATCATGTGTCTACATTAGATGAAAGTAATCCTTAACCCATGGGTTAGGCCTAGGGAGTAGGCCTGCCACCTAATAGTATCCAAGAAAAGTTTGTTCAATGAATGAAGGAGGGAAGGAAGAATTATATTAGTTTATTAAATTTAAGGTGCAGATAGAAAGAGGCAGAAAGCTAAGAATTCCCTAAAACTTTGAGACACTTGACCAAGCCCTGACCCTGGGATCCAGTGAAACCTCAGAGATGACATCACAAAATGCTATCTCTTTCAGAAAGGCATCAGGAGTTCTCTTTAAGGCTTCCTATTAGGAGGTGTCATAAGAAGAGATGCCTCTGGAATGGCCTCTGGACTCCAGGAGCCAGCCCGGTTCTGCTGTGATGGGACGCTAGGCCCTGGAACAACTGGGTTCATCTGTTCCATACTGTCTTTCTGCCAGTGCAAAAAATAGATGATTTCAACGGTCCATGCTAGCTCTAAAATTATTTCATTTATAATACCAGTTGATTACCTATTTACATAGATATCGTGTTGAAACTCAGATTTTAAAAAAAAATTAAAGTATTCTTTCTCTACAATAATAAAGAGCCTTATAGGTTACTAGAGACCCAGTGCACGAATTTGTTTCCAGGTGGGATGGGGTCCCTCCCGGCATATCAGGGCCATCTCGCCCACTCCTGATTGGGGCCGGCCAGCCACGGGGAGGGATCGTGGGAGGTTGGCCAGCTGCGGGAGGTTGGCTGTGGAAGCACACTGACCACCAGGGGCCTGCTCCTGTGTTGAGCATCTGCCCCCTGGTGGTCAGTGAGCATCATAGCTACCAGCCAGTCGTCCAGTCATCTGGTCCTAACTGTCGCGTAAGTTATTATATATTTAGACTATGAATTTTGTACATAGAGGCCTGATGTACAAAATTCATGCACAGAGACATGAGGGGGAGGGAGAGGGTGTGTGTGTCTCTCAGCCTGGGCTGCATTCTCTCACAACCCAGGACCCCTAGGGTAGTGTCCTGGGCTTGGCTGGCAATCACGGCCTATTGAGTCTTGCCTTGCCCAAGCTGGCCCAGCCCCCGCTGCTGCCACTGCTTGCCCTCTGTGCGGTGCTGCCTCCCTTCCCCCGCCACCCTCTGCAGGTGACAGGCATGGGGTGCAGCCACTTAGCTGGTCCCACACACCCGCCACAGCTTCACTGGCCAGTGGCCTGGGCTGCCCTCTGTGGGGTGATCAATCACGGGGCCCCCAGATCGATCACCCCATAGAGGGAGGTCCCGCCCACCTGCTGCAGTGCCGCTGGCCAGGTAGCCTGGGCCTCCCTCTTTGGGGTGATCGATTGTGGGAGCCCCCCATTGATCGCTCCATAGAGGGTGCCCTGGGCCTTCCTCTGTGGGGTGATTGTGGTGTGATGGGGCCCCCCGCCTAATAGCATCACACCTGCCTTGGCCGGCCTGGCGCCATTGCATGTCATAGTGTGGTGTCTGGAAGGTCGTCCAGACGGTCATTCTGCAGTTCGGTCCCTTGGTCAATTTGCATATTATGCTTTTATTATTATAGATTGGTAAAAATGTGATTATTAAGATTCCAAGATTACACTGTAGAAAGCATTTTTCAATGATTATATTCCTTATAAAAACTTACTGGCCAAACTATTGAGACAGAAGCTAATGAACTGGATATCTGACACATTGTCACATTTTCAAAGAGTTAATTCTCTGTAGTTTTAATCTGTAAGAGTTTTTATTTTATTTTTATTTTTTATTTTTTTAAATATATTTTATTGATTTTGTACAGTGAGGAAGGGAGAGAGATAGAGAGTTAGAAACATCGATGAGAGAGAGTCATTGATCAGCTGCCTCTTGCACACCCCCTACTGGGGATATGCCCGCAACCAAGGTACATGCCCTTGACCGGAATCGAACCCGGAACCCTTCAGTCCCCAAGCCGACGCTCTATCCATTGAGCCAAACCGGTCCCGGCTGTAAGAGTTTTTAAAAAAATCAAATAATTATAATATTAAAGTTATTCCATACTAAATATACTTGTTATAAGTGATAAATGATATATAATACATTTAACAGATTTAACTATTAAACATTAGTTATTAATAACTAATAATGTAAATCATAGTTAAATAATTTTTTTCTTCTTTATTTTAGTGAAGTATGAGCGGGAAGCTAATAAATACTGGGACACATTTTACAAGGTGCATAAGAATAAGTTTTTCAAGGATCGTAATTGGCTGTTGAGGGAATTTCCTGAAATTCTTCCACCCGATCAGAAAACTGAAGAGGCGGCAAAAGAATTATCATGGGATCATGTAAAAACTAATGCTGCAAATTGTTTTTCAAGAAAGCACTGCCCTATTGTTCCTGAGGAAAAGGATTCTTATCAGAAAAGTTCTGGCTCCTCAGATGGTCACAGCAAAGCAGAATCTGATTTTCCCCACCTCAACTCTGAAGAGCACGGAAAAGGACCTCTGAAGGCAGACCTCTTTCCTGGAGGCAAAACCACTTTCAGAATCCTAGAGGTACTGCACTGCAGGGCCAACATGGGGCGAGGCGAATCATTTTAAAATGTGCATTCCGTATTGCTTCATTAACAATCCAGATTTTTTTAAAGGGGAAAATGATTGTGATTTAAAAAAAATTTTAAATTTGTTTTAATTTCTAACTTGAGAGCAGTTTTAAATCCCAGTAAAGTTTTGGCCTTAATTTCTATCTCTTTCTGTAATTATTTATTTTCAGGTGAAACAGGAATGTGGACTATAATTTGCTAATCTGGCGGATAGGCCTTGATTTTCTACTTTTAAGAAAACACATTTTCTTCTGATTATAAACGTAGACTATATTAAATTACAGAGAATTTGCTAAGAGTAGATAAGAGAAATAAAATTATAGTCCTTCTGTTAACATTTTACTGACATTTTCTCTTTTGGTTTAGACTGTTTTATATATTATAGTTGAGCTATACTATAGCTGTATTTTGGGGTCTTGCTTTGTTTCTATTTAACATTATATCATAAGCTATTTTATTTTCCCTATCTTTAAATTTTTTCTATAAACATTTTCATAGCTACAAAATATTTTACCTTATGGAGTACTATAATTCTACTTATCTTTTTTTCACACTACTAAGTATTTAAATTGTTTTCAGGTTTCTACAACAAACATCTTTGGAAATAGACTTTTCTTTATTTTCTTTTATTATCTTGAGTTAGATTTACTAGTTCATAGTTTATTAAAATGTTTAATACTCTTAAGATCTATCGCCAAATTGCTTCCTAAGAAGTTGTACTAATACCAGTTCACAGGTCATGGCATCGTGCATCTATTTCATCACATCCTCATGGATTGGAATATTTTTATTTTCATGCTTTCTGCTTTATAAGACAAAAAACATACCTTGTTTAAATTTGCATTTTTTTTTTTTTTTGCTTATTAAATAGGTCATATAGTTCTTCAAATGCTTAGAAGCCTTTTGTACTTCTTTTGTTGTGTTCTCTTTATTTTCTTTGCTTATTTACCTACTGGAGGCCCAGAGTGCAAAACTTGCGAGACCCAGACCCACCCTGCACTTCCTGGTGACTGGCTGTTTGGTCATTCTGCCGTTATAGCATCATGACCACAGGCCTTTTATGATATGGATAGCTTTTATTTGTTTGCTTGTTTGTTTTTTGTTTTTAAATAAATTTTATTGATTTTTTTTTTTTTTTTTTTTTTTTTTTACAGAGAGGAAGGGAGAGAGATAGAGAGCTAGAAATGTCGATTAGAGAGAAACATCGACGACCAGCTGCCTCTTGTACAACCCCCACCAGGGATGTGCCCGCAACCAAGGTACATGCCCTTGGCCGGAATCGAACCCGGGACCCTTCAGTCCGCAGGCCGATGCTCTACCACTAAGCCAAACCGGTTTCGGCTGTTTGTTTTTAATGACCTCTGCCCTTTATCATATTTGTGGCAAACAGGCTTTGTTTTTTTCCCCACAGTGTTTTGGTAATCTTATAATTCAGTTTATTTGGGTTTTGGTATCTAAAAACTTTAAATGTTTCCATAGTTAAATTTCTTTTTTCTTTCTTTTAAAAAAATATATATTCTATTGATTTTTTTTTTACAGAGAGGAAGAGAGAGAGATTCTCTCTCATCAATGAGAGAGAATCATCCATCAGCTGCCTCCTGCACACCTCCTCCTGGGGATGTGCCCGCAACCAAGGTACATGCCCTTGACCAGAATCGAACCCGGGACCTTTCAGTCCCAGTCCGATGCTCTATCCACTGAGCCAAACCGGTTTCGGCTCCATAGTTAAATTTCTTAGTATTATTTTTGTGATTTATTCCATTGCTTTTGAGTTTAGAAAAGTCTCTTATTCCTGGAGGTCCAGTAAATTTCTTCTAGTTTTTTTTGTTTTTGTTTTTTAATAAAAATTTCAAGATTGGTGAGAAAAATTCCACCTTGCTTTCATGATATTTGTTTATTCTTTTGATTTTAGGTTGGCTGTGGTGCTGGAAATAGTGTTTTTCCAATTCTGAACACTCTACAGTGAGTTCTCTCCTATAAATTTTTATATATGTATGGGATGTTGAGAAATTCTGGGGAAATGTCATGTATATGCCAGTAGTGTTCTTGTGTTCCCATATAAAAATGACCAAAGCAAATTTGAAAAGCAGTGCCTTAGTCTTAGAGCCTAATTTCAAATTTATTCTGAAAATAGTATTTCACAGCCATGGTTTGTCCACCGTGCATTGAAGTATTTTTTTAAGCTTGTTTGTGTGGATGAGTGAATAAGAAACAAGCCTGAGAGTTGATCCTTCCTCTAAGCTGTGAATTGCTCCTCGAGGATACATAGGTGTCATTTTACACACAGAGACCTGAGTTTAAAATTTATGCTTTAATCTTTATTTTATTTTGTCATTACTCCCAGAGCCACACCCAGGATAAAACCTTAAGATGTCTCTAGAATTGTTTGTCAGTAACAGCAACTAACCTTAAGACTCCAGGAAGTAGATGATAAGGACTGAAATATTTTAATATTTAATAAGGCTGGCCCTTCCCTATACCTCACCTATATTTTTTACTATTTCCATGACAAAGAAGACATACCTTGCCACATTCTTTAACACCTTTTACATATGGCTGCTCTGTCAAGTTCCTTTTTAAATTTTTTTACATTTACACAATGGCTTTTACATTCTTTTTTCTATTATAAAGTCAACATAAGCACATTCCAGAACATTTCTATTAGAGGAAACTGGGCTTGGGGGAGGGGGGAAGGGTTGGGGGAGGGGGGAGGTTACCCATCATCCTCACAGCTCCTGACAGAGTTTTTGTTGTAATTCTTTTCAGTCTTTTCTCTATGCATATTTTTTTAAAATTTAACGATGCTATTTTTTTAACTTACATAATGAAAATGTAAAAGAATTCAGAAAAATAAAGAGTACACAATGAGTCCCCACACACCCACCACCTCGATTCAACAATTAATATAATGCCAATATTATGACACTTTATCTTTAAATATGCCATGTCTTATTAGGTATTTCCAAAAAATCAGGGCATTTTCCAGTACTATTATAAACCTAACATAATGAATCCTAATCCCCCAATGGCATCGCATAACCAGCGGACGTGGCCAGGGAGAAGGGATGCTGCAGATTTGCAGTTCTGAATGGCCTTTCTCTCTTTGTACTTATTTCCTTTGTTTTCCCTTTTTCAATATCGGGGCTGAAATTTCCTGTTCTTTTATAGCACATAGCCAGGTTCCTTCATGTCAGTGATCTTCAAGTTTATAATACACATAAATCTATGGCATTGGCAGTCGATTATGTGTTACTTTATGACTCATCTCAAGGTATTATTTAGCATGTCATTTCTTTATGTCTTCTCTCTCCAACCACTGTTTATATTCCTTGAGGGAGAGAGCATAATCTGATTTTCCAGATATAGCCTAACAGTACAATACAGATAGTCTGAGCTCAGTACATATTGATTCATTAATATCTCAGATTCCCCTCTGGTTACTGTTATTTTTCCCTTTCTACTTCTCCCTTCAACTAATAATTGCAAGCTCTTGCCTCCTCACTCTTCGGCTCTTCTCATCTTGTATCTCTATTTTGCCTCGTATCCACATCTTAGAAATCACTGTAGCTCAATAATCTGAGCTAATGAATTCATCTTTAGAAGGCAGCCGGTGATTAACTTTCCATTAGACTTCTTTTTCTCCACCTGAGAAATTATGTTTTATTACTTTTCGAGAATATAGGGTTAATGTTTTTCATTTTCAGAATATTTTACTATATTTAGACCTTTGGAATTGAGAAGTCACATCATTCTCCAAGGAGCGTTTATTTCTTAAACTCCTGCCAAGCGAGGGCTTGGTGGTGTGGCAGTAGTAGTGATATGGCACCTACTTGCTGGGAGAAGGGCCAAGGCAGTCAGCTGATTTTACAGAAATGCTCTGGAAAGTCAGTGAGTGGTCACAAGACCTTAACTTTGGCTGCTGATGCAGTGGGAATTCAGTCTCAGAGGTCACGCTGCAACCCTGGCAGGACACGTGGCAAACAGCCCATGCTCTCCTTTAGCAACTGGACTGTTCTGTATTGTGTGGGTGTTTGGTAACTACTGCCCAAAGGTAGACTGCATTCCCTTCATAATGAGCTAGACGTGCCAGGGTCCAGAGAAGCATTTTGAGTTAAATGGAAATTTTTACAGAATCCTGTTAAGTTCTTAAGTTTTTTGTTTTTTTGTTTTTTTTAAAATATATTTTATTGATTTTTTACAGAGAGGAGGAGAGAGGGATAGAGAGCTAGAAACGTCGATGAGAGAGAAACATCGACCAGCTGCCTCCTGCACATCCCCTACTGGGGATGTGCCCGCAACCAATGTACATGCCCCTGACCCGAAACGAACCTGAGACCTTTCAGTCCACAGACCAACGCTCTACCACTGAGCCAAACTGATTTCGGCAAGTTCTTAAGTTTTTAAGTTCCAGGAAGGCACAGGAATATCTTCCTTTAAAAATATGGTAATGAAAATAAATATTAGCAATAGCAGTAACTTAATAATGACTAACATTTACTAGGTGCTTACTCTGAATTACACACCTTTCTTTCTTTTCTTTTTTAAAAATATATTTTTGTTGATTTTTTACAGAGGGGTAGAGAGTTAGAAACATTGATGTGAGAGAAACATCGATCAACTGCCTCTTGCACACCCCTTACTAGGGATGTGCCCACAACCAAAGCACATGCCCTTGACTGGAATTGAACCGGGGACTTTTCAGTCCACAGGCCTACACTATCCACTGAGCCAAACCGGTTTCGGCTAGACATCTTTCTAGAAGCTGTACTTACATGAATCCATCAATCTTTTTTTTTTTTTTTTTAATTTTTATTGATTTTGTACAGAGAGGGAGAGAGATAGAGAGTTAGAAACATCGATGAGAGAGAGTCATCGATCAGCTGCCTCTTGCACACCCCCTACTGGGAATATGCCCGCAACCAAGGTACATGCCCTTGACCAGAATTGAACCCAGGACCTTTCAGTCCCCAAGCCGACGCTCTATCCATTGAGCCAAACCGGTTTTGGCGAACCCATCAATCTTTACAACCACTTTAGATGCCGTATTTATCTCTGTTTTAAAGATGAGAAAACAATTACTGAGAGATGATTTAGTACCAGTTAACTTTTCATAACCAAATCCTATTCCTCCAACTTTGAACTTATTTGGACAGATCTTAAATCAAGTGTCAATCCCTAGTACCACAAAACAAATGAGTTATGCATGACTATAATATTCATCAATGGGTAGCATTTAAGAATATAATCTGAGCCTGGCTGGTGTGGTTCAGTGGTTGAGTGTTGATGTATGAACCAGAAGGTCACAATTTGATCCTAGTTAGGACACATGTCCAGGTTATGGGCTCAATTCTGATGTTTCTATCTTTCTCTACCTCTCCCTTCCTCTCTGAAATCAATAAAAATATATTGAGGGGGGAAAAAAAGAATATAATCTGAGCCTGGGTGATATTTTGCTAAATGCATATTTATTTAAAAGTCCTCCTTGCTTGAAATGCTTCCTAAATCAAATTAGAAGTTCTTGTTGGCCTGCAGATAAAGGGTCCCAGGATTGATTTTGGTCAATGGCACATGCCTGGATTGTGCGCTTGATCCCCAGTGGGGGATGTGCAGGAGGCAGCCAATCAATGATTCTCTCTCATTATTGATGTTTCTGTCTCTCTTTCTCTCCTTTCCTCTCTGAAATCAACAACAAAATAAATTTTTTTAAACGTTTTAATTATGTGCTTCAAGAACCACCTGAATATCCTACCTCATACTAGTTTAGGCTATTGGGATCAATTCTGCTTCTCATCCCTGGTGTGTGACTCCCACCTCTAAACCCTTGTACCATTTCCTTTTCTCCCCATTTAGCAGTGCTATCCCCTCCTTCAAAATTTTTAAGACTGCCCTGGCCAGCATTGATCAGTGTTAGAGTGTCGCCAGCACACCAAAAGGTTACAGGTTCAATACCCAGCCCCAGTCAGGATGCACATGGGAGGCAACCAGTCGGTGAGTTTCACTCACATTGATGATGTGTATGTCCCTCCCTCCTTCCCTCTCTTCCTCCTTCCCTCTCTAAAAAGCAATGGGGAAAAAACATCCTAGGTGAAGATTACCAACAACAACAAAAGTTCCTAAGACTTAAACCTCCAGAAGTCTGCCCTGACAACACCCCTTTAGTAGTTGTATAAAACCAGTTGTGTCCCCCCACATAGGCCATAAAATCCACAACAGCCAGGACCATGCTGATAATTAACATTTAATGGCATACTGATCTCTTTCTGTGGTTCAGACACGGACTAAGCAACATGATGCAAGGATTGTTTGACCCTAGCATATGAGAGGTGATAAAGAAGGACACTGGCCCACAGAATTCTAAAGTATTCAGCTGCCCATTAACAGTCATAATCCATCCATCGTTAAGTGAATTTCAGATAAAAGCCAAATAGAATTTGCCTGAATTCAGTGGAGGCCAATTAAAATTAGTCAATATTTTCATGTGTGTAAACCTCTCCACCACACCACACCCCAGGAAAAAAAAAAAAAAAGCTAAATTTATGTGCTTTATTTACATTAAATAAACCAACTGAATCTTTAAGAAATTAAATCAAATTCACAAGTTAATAAGTGGAAAATCCAGGATTTAAACACAGGTCTATTTGATTCTAAAATTCATACTCTTCTTACACAATTTCATTACTACTTTATATTCTAATGCTAGGTACATATATGAGTCTCAATAAAAGTTTAGCAATAACTTGAAAAGATAACTAAGAAATAGTGTTTTAATCTTCAGAAGTTGTATTTATATGGGGTGTGTGTGTGTGTGTGTGTGTGTTTGCGTATTTCTGCCCCATCACGGCATCAGAGGCCCCAGAGCCAAATGAGTTGTACACACAGGAAGGGGAATGAAGCACCGCTGAGGGGACACAGAGCCTGAGCGTCCGGGTTGAAGGGTAGAAGTTGCCTAAGCGAATAGCAGCTATAGACCGTGTTGCTGGGGCTGAGGAGTGCCTGTGAGGGGCAGGCGGAGGCTGAAGCAATGCTGATAGATGGCCTTGGAGGTTTTCCACGTGCCAGTGTGGTTTGAGGGGAGGTAGGCTGCAGTAAGAGCCTTAACACCAGAACAGGAATATGAAATGAACCCTGTAATTAATAAGTGTTAGAGATAATGTTGGTTCAGAAGCAACAGGAAGGCCACCCACAAACCACTCCTGAGAACAGTATCTACAAAGACGAAATGACAAGCTAAGTATCATCCAAGCTTCTGTTGAGAAAGTCCTTATTAATTAGTGCAGACTGAGGGTTTTTTGTTTTTTTACTTTTGCAGTCGGAGCATATCCGGATTCTAGATTTAAGTACTTCTTTCATTGTCACAGGAATGCTCCGGAGTCCTTTCTTTACTGTTGTGATTTCGCCCCTGGAGCTGTGGAGCTGGTAAAGGTATGCCTCGGATTCTCTGTAAGGAGAGCCAGATGCTGTTGCAGTGATTTGGGCGCGGGGAGGGGATGTTTCTGCATCGGATGTTCTCTGTGGCCATTTTTAACTGAGCTCTTACTATTTCTGGGAATCCTACCATCCACGGATGCCTAAGATAGGACCCTAAAACAATACACGTTGTTTTGAATTTAACATAGAGTTGAAGGGACTGGAACACCTAGAAAGGCCAACAGCTCCTACTGGTCTTGTTCATATTTATTTCTATAAATCCTTTCACACAGTCTGACACATAGTACACATTCATTAAATTAAAAAAAAAAGAAAAGAAAGAAAAGAAAGGGGGCATGTCTGAAAAGGCATATAATGCAAATCTAAAACATCCTAGAAAGTAAGGAAAACAGTGGGGAGCCTGGGCTTATTGGACCAGTCCCCCAATGCTAGCGAACGTATCCTTAGCAAGAAGAGGCGATGTTAAGAAATGGGAAAGAAGGGAAATGCTACAAACAAAAATGTATAGTTAGCACACGGAACGTAACTTCCGATAATAGAAGTAATAATTAATCACTGGAGACATTTTCTAAAAGATTGAGAAGCCTGAAGTGCACTTACAATTACACTTATTAGAGCCCAGGAAGAATCAGTGTTATTAATATTTTTGTACGCATCCTTGTAGTGTTGTTTCTGTAGGTGAACTGTGTGTGTGTGTGTGTGTGTGTGTGTGAGAGAGAGTGTGTGTGTGTGTGTGTGAGTGTGTGAGTGTGTGTGTGTGTGAGTGTGTGTGTGTGTGTGAGTGTGTGTGTGTGTGTGTGTGTGTGTGTGAGTGTGTGAGTGTGTGTGTGTGTGAGTGTGTGTGTGTGAGTGTGTGTGTGTGTGTGTGTGTGTGTGTGTGTGAGTGTGTGAGTGTGTGTGTGTGTGTGTGTGTGTGTGAGAGAGAAAGAGAGAGAGTGTGTGTGTGAATGTGCACGGGCATGCACATGCTCTAATGCACCTTTTTAACACAGCTCACGGAGGCCTGGCACAAGCCGTGGGGGAGAGCCGAGGAGCAGCCCTGTGCCTCTGAGATTACCCGGGGAGCCTTCCAGCAACGCTGCCTCTGGACTCACAGGACTGCCCCACCCCACTTTTTACATTAAAGATGGATTGCAAAGGATTATTTGTTATCAACTACAAGTGATAGATTAGTAGACTTACTTTTTTATGGCAGCTTTTGAAATAAAATACTGAGTCAGAAGTAAAATGCATCCAAATTTATAGAAAAAGGCAGTAGGGAGAAGTAAAAACATTGACCTTTTTTCTTTAAGAAAAATACCGTTAGGTCTGCTAACTACTTTCCCCCTTTTTTTTGTTCCTTTGTCCTGACAGGCGCATGCATCCTACAGAGCAGCCCAGTGTTGTGCCTTTGTTCACGACGTTTGTGACGAGGGCCTGCCCTACCCGTTCCCAGACGGGATCCTGGATGCCGTCCTCCTTGTCTTTGTGCTCTCTTCCATTCATCCTGACAGGTGAGCGGAGCGAAAAGGGCACAGCACACGTGGGAAGCCCCTTCAGCAGTTTTTAGGACTATCAAAGCAAAAATGACAATCCTTGCATTTCTTATTTAGTGAACTACATTATGTATAACATGCAGCCTTTTAAATGCAGTTTTCCCTTTCTTCACACTTTTAGAAAGAAACTGGTCAGACTGCTTCATTAGTGAGCTTTCTGTCACTGTCAGGATGAAGGGAGCACACTCTGACAAGACACATACCTATTAAAAGTGACAGTGCTTCAAGGAAATTACACAGTCAGAGCCGCCTAATAGACTCCCGGGAGGGAAATTGTACTTGGTGATCAGAAACAAACATCTCTGATTTAGCATCTTCCTCAACGTTTGTGAAGAGGTGGGCTGTGAATCTATTTGGCTTCACACAGAAGCTTAAAAATTTTTGTTTTAGGAAAGCCCACTAGGAAAAAAGTCCAGAGGCTTAAAATTTTTTGTTTTAGGAAAGCCCACTAGAAAAAAAAAAAAAAAAAAAAAGAAAAAGAAAGAAAGAAAGAAAGAAAGAAAGAAAGAAAGAAAGAAAGAAAGAAAGAAAGAAAGAAAGAAGCCCACTAGGGAATTAGGGGTTGTCAAGATTGTCAAGATCTGCCAGGTTAACCTTGGACCTTTATAATCTAAGATTGGCCTAGTGACATTATTTGAATATTTATGACTTAATTTTTTTTGTGCACACGCAATGTTTTGTTGTGTGTGGGGTTTTTTTTTGGGGGGGGGGGTTTTTTTGTTAATCCTTATCTGAGGATATTTTTCCATTGATTTTTATAGAAGAAGGAAGGGAGGAAGGGAGAGAACGGAGGCAGAAAAGGGAAGGAGGGAGGGAGGGAGGGAGGGAGGGAGGGAGGGAGGGAGGGAGGGAGGGAGGGAGGGAGGGAGGGAAACATTGATGTGAGAGAGACACATCGAATGGTTGCTTCTCACACACACTCTGACCAAAGCTAAGGATCGAGCCTGCAACAGAGGTATGTGCCCTTGTCTGGAATCAAACCTGAGACTGTTCAGTTTGTGGGCTGTTGCTCTATCCACTGAGCAAAGCTGGTAGGACCACACACAATGTTTTAAAAGAGTAAACATAGCCTTTCTTCAGAGAAGAAGCATAAAGAGCTATTACCAGTGATCAGAGTGATCACGTTTCTTAAAATTCTGCCCTTTGTAGGTATTCAGGCACATGTGTGGTCCTGGGGGTTGTGCCTTCATGAGGTTTTTAAACGTGGGCCTTTCCACTGAGGTAGTAGACGCCTCCAGGAAGGAGCCTTTGGTCACAGGTACAGGTTTAGCTTCCACCCCTGTTTGTTTGATGTGTGTGACCCTTTCCCAAGAGGCTGAGATGCTCTATGCTTCTCTCTTTCCAACTACAAGGTCACTAGGACCCTTTACAGTCCTGTCACTTCTCATTCAGAGACGGGCACTTTGATTACTTTGTTGAAAAACAAGTTAGATTTCCAGATAAATCTGAATGAAGGATATATTTTCACTTAGTGAGATCCAACAGGTTCCATTAAACTACTTTTTCCCTCCCGGTTTCTATAACATGTTCCTTCCTGCTAATCTGTGTAGACTATTGGCATTATTCAGGTACCAGTAGAAAAATGTCATCTACGTGTTTTGTTTCATAGTTAAAAGGATGAATAGTCAAAAGGATGGAGTAGGTGGATTGAGAACAAGATTTTCTATTTGACACCCATAACAGGAAATGTTTAAATTCCAAATAAGACCACAAATGGACTATTGGAAATTAGTGTACATAATGTGTTTTCTCGTGATTTGAATAGAATGTTAAAGAGAAGGGAAAGCAGATGTCTTGGGAAGATTACTTTTATTGTACAGTAGGTTTATTGTATTTATTATAGAATAAATTCAGATGTATCATGTCAAAAGCCACTTTCATATCTACACGGAAATGATCTAAAAATGAAGTGAATGAGTAGAAAGGTTATAGTAAATGAAAAGACAAGACAATATTTTTAGGTCTTTTAGGATTGTGGTAATAGATTCAGCTCCAGGGAAGTTCTAGGAAAGTATTCTTGACAGCCTGAAAAAAATCCATGCACACATGAACTGCAAGTGGTTCAGCTAGACCTTGAGTCTGGGGGTCCCAGCTTAAGTGGAAGGCTATAAAAGAAGAGCTAGCTTCTGTCCTGTCATTAAAATGTAAGAAAGTATGTTTACCATAGACCCAAGCAGAGTGTAGGCAGGCAATACTCATATCTAAAAAACCTCATCATTTCCTTCTCTTCTTCCTTCACCCGGAGGATAGCAGAGTTGGCCCAAGTAGGGTGAAGGAAGAAAAGGGGCTTTCTCCCCTCTCGTCTTGTCCATCTCACTGCCAGCCACTCCTGCCAGCAGCTCTCACTGGCTCTGGAACTGCTTTAAGGGCCAAGACGGGGTGATCAAGAAATCAGCTACCTCCCATTGCCTGTACCTACACCCCCACCATTAAAGGATAGCTGGGAAGAAAGGATTTGCAGAAGGAGGTGGCTACATTTTGAAGAACAGATGATCTTTGAACAAGGCAGGGATAGGGATGCTGACCCCTTGCGCAGTTGAAAATCTGCGTATAACTTTTAACTCCTTAAAAATTTAACTACTAATAGCCTACTGTTGACTAGAAACCTTAACAACACCATAAACAGTCAGTTAACATATCTGCTGGGTTTTATGGGCATTGGATACTGTATTCTTACAATAAAGTAAACTGATAAAAAGAAAAAATTGTTAATAAAATCGTAAGAAAGAAAAAATACATATACAGTACTGTGCTGTATTTATTGATACTGTAAGTTTATGTCATCTGTTTATAAGCTAGAGTGTCAGTCCTACATCAGTATTATCTTACATGATACAAAACACTGAAGATGTTATAGCACTAACACTAGACATCAAAAATGAAAAGATATTGTGAAAAAGAAATTCATACTTATTTACAGGTATAACAATTCATGCATTGATAATGGGGAAGCAGCCATGTAATCGCTATATGGTAACATAGGGTAATATTATGATTGCTTCATAGGAGTAAGGAAATCTCCAAAAAAAAGTTTCCATATGTTTATTGGGAAAAGTCCATGCATAAATGGACCTGTGCTGGTCAAACCCATGTTGCTCAACTTTATTTGGCTTTGTTTTTCTGCATTTTTGTTTCATGCTTGCTTTAGTAATAATTGCAGAAAGAGACCTTTCTCTGTACATAAAACATTTATCCTGAAAGTGAGTTATTTTAAGGTTAGATATAGTCATATGTAATTGCCAAAGCCTAAGAATATAAGCTCAGTGTGAGGAAAAAACCTGTAATAAGCAAGGAAAAATACTTTTCTTTTTCCCTTTAGTGTACTTAGGTTACAGTTTTTTAAAAGAGCGTTTGATCTAAGCATCCCACTTCTTTCTGTTTATTTCTCTCTTGTTTTCATAGTTATTTTCATGTTCTCACTTCCTTTCGTGTATCTGCTTCCTTTGTAACCTGCCTCAGCTTTTCACCCCATTGTTTCACTGAACAGTGTTTTAATTGGAAAGAATGTACAGATTATCTGATCCCAAGCCCTCACTTTTAAAACAAGAACACCTCAGAAGCTTTAAGTAGCGTGGATAAAGCGTGGATGAGCACACCATCTAAAATTTACAATTTCTCTATTTACAATTTCCCAGGGCAGACATTTGTCACTGATTTTGTACTCCGATCATCATTCCCAATGAGCCCGAGTTCTCCTCAATAGAGCTCTGTAGGCAGCCAATGTCAAACAATGGGCATTAATACGGTATCTGAAATCTTTGCCATCTCTCACCCATAATCACACATAAGTCCATGAACACTTAACCGAAAGCATTAAGTCAAGAACAGTAACAAGGAGTCGTATTTGATGGGGAACGAGATGAGTAGAATAAATAATAAAAGAAAGAAAGTAAAGGCTTCCCAGTATTAATCCGGGGCTTTCAGCGTGAATAGAATATAAATAGGCAGAGAGCAAGGAGAGAATTCTTTGAGGGGGAACCACATAAACAAAGGCATGGACTGCTCCAAGCCAAGCATGTACAGTTTGGTTGGAGTTGATGCTTTAGGTTAGAAAATAAGGAGAAAGAGACAGGAAAAACTGAGCAAAGCAATGATTTCATAAAACCATCATTTTAAGCAGAATAATTCATCAATAACCTGCAGGAATTATTGACAGGAAGAATAATAAAACAAGTTAGGAAGCTATTCTGTTTCCAGGCCTAAAAAAGATAGCAGTTTGTACCAACAGAGTTCCAATGGGAAACAAAAGAGAAAAATATCAAAGATTGTCATTTGTAAAAAAAGAAATAGAAGATAGAGCTTGATAACCAAATTTGGAGAGGATAGTGGAAGAAGAGAGACCTGGAAGGGTTAATGATACCTTCAGGTGTTACACTTTGGTGAATGTTGGTACCTTTGAACTAAATAAAGAAGTCAGGATAAAAGTAGCTACTGTGGAGGAAAGCTGATCTCTGTTTACTGCAGATATACACAATTTGGGATTGCTTGGCTTATTTTTTATCTTGCAAGAAAAATAGATCAGTGTCCGTTTCTGTCTGCCTTGGACCTACTTTAATTTGCTGTAATAGTCAGAAAATATCTCTGTGGTTTTGTAGTTGAACTTTGACTTCATCCATCAAACTCTGTTCATTTGGGTGATTTCTTGATTCTCTAGGATAGTGGTCGGCAAACTCATTAGTCAACAGAGCCAAATATAAACAGTACAATGATTGAAATTTCTTTTGAGAGCCCAATTTCTTAAACTTAAACTACTTATAATGCCACTTCTTCAAAATAGACTCGCCCAGGTCATAGTATTTTGTGGAAGAGCCACATTCAAGGGGCCAAAGAGCCACATGTGATCTGAGAAGATCCTTGATATGGTTTCTATCTTCTTGAATTTGAAGAGACTTCACCTGTGTCCCAACACATGGTCTATCTTTGAAAATGACCCATGTGCACTTGAGAAGAATGTATAT